ATGTTCAGCTCTTCAAGGGCATTCATAATACTATTCACAAGCTATTGTCAGACCAACGGATGAACTTCAGAGGCGGGAAAAGGGAGCTTCAGGAAGCTGTCAGTGCCCTTGCACCTGATCTGCAGCATCAGCTTACACTTCTGCTTCAACCTACCACACTCTCCTCATTTTGGTGGATGTTGGGAACAGGAGACATGCTCCCTCAAGCAAGCTCTAAGAGTCAATTTGGGAACTCAGAATGTGTCACTGAGGAAGTGCTAGGCACCATCCTTGTAGGGACTGAAGGGATACTGAACTAACTCCTTTGGGTTATGTCTCATCATTCATCACAGACATTGATTCCATAATCCCCAACTCTCTGCTTATGGGACAGCTTGATTCATCCCTTCCACCAGATGTTTACCCGGAGTCGAAAATGCCCAGTTGCCAACACTGGAATCATAGCCAGTGGAACACTTTTTGGCAACACTTTCTGGGTGAATGGCCAGGTTCTACCTGCCAGCACTTCTGCCCTGCGAGAAATGGTCCACAGTCTTCGTCATAGATCCCCAGCTGCCCGGTGCATATGGGCCAGTGGGCCAAGTTACCGAGCTGATAACTGGAGCAGACAGATGCATCAGTACCACCAATGTGAAGGTGGGATACCAAGAAGTATACATGCTCTGCTGCACACCTCATTAGGCTTCCCAAGGTGTCAGAGTAACTCCTCACTCTTAGAGCCCATCACCATAAAAGAGGCCCCATTTTGGGGCTGATTTCCTTCAGCTAGAGGACTTCCAGAAATCAGGGGGCGGCTGTAAAAAGGGCCTCACTGTCTCTACCCTAATGAACAAGACTTGTGCCCTCCCTTAGCACAGCAGTGCCCTCTGCTGATGGAGTAACAAGCTGCCGGAGAATATTCCAGACAACATGACATGGAAGGGAGACTTCATCTCGATGATACAGTATTTATAGAGTTAGCAGGACATTTACTAGTTGTACTTGCCATAATGGACTGTACCATTTACATCTTTCTCTAAGATTATATCTGTAGACTGTGTGTAAGACATTGAGTGACTATCAGTTCTTTAATTGTTAGTAAAAATATTTGTAATGCTAATTAGCAAATTAGATTGTCATACAAGGACAGATAGCCTAGACACTTGATTTATTTATGCATGCGGTGGCAATGTTCATTACGTTCAGTTGTTCAACTATCTCTAGGATTAAAGCCAATTTGGCTAAGTGCTACTCAGAGTGCAATTTAAGTACATTTCAGTGGTTGTGATATTCAAACTGTGCCATGTTATTTAGTAAGTGGTGTTTTACATTCATTGTCTATTTTGAATGTTTTTTGCAAGAATTATGGCTGTGATCGGTTGTCTGAGAAAATCAATCTTTCAGATGCCTTTTTCATTATGTAGTACCTGCCCTCTAAGCTTATCCTTTAAAACTGCAACCCTTGCTGAATGATTACTGCCTTTACAGACCAGGTCTTGCTGCCTCACCAACTGATTCCCAAAGCAACCAGGCCTAAAAAAAAATCCTGCTAAATCTACACTAACTGATATAATTCTGACTAACAAACCTCACAAGTAGTCTGCCTCTGGTGTTGGTGTTGCCCTGGACATCAGCGATCACTGCCTAGTGGTGTGTGACTGCAATACTTGGAAAATAAAAACAAAATCAAAAATGATCACAAAATAAGCTTCAAATATTTGAATGCACAAGAATTCTTCAGTGATTTATATCAATCAGACAGTGGGATGTGTTCTGCTCAAGTCATGATTTAGCACTAAATTATTTTTCTAATATTTTGGCCCACACTTGATTGTAATACTCTCTAACAGAGCATTTGGATTAAATAAGAGATTCATCCAGGCCTCAGAACACAGGCTGCTTTTGATGACCTCCAGACCTCTCAGATAATCTTAGTTTGCTCTAAACTCCAAAAACACTAAATGTGTACAAGACATTCCCAATCGGATCCATATTGAAAATGGATATGTAATTGACACAGTCCAGCATTATAAATCCTCAGGAACGTAATTAGATAGTAGACTATCCTATAAAACTCATGCCGAACATCTAGCTCAAAAATTAAAAATTCAAATAGGCTTTTTTTTTTTTACCAAAACAGAGCTTGTTTCTTTTTTGAAAGTAGAAGCAGTCGACAATACTTTCCACATTGGATTACAAAGATATTCTGCATGCTCATGCTGCTGCCTCTACCCTTACAGGACAGGACACTGTCTATCACAGTCCCATTTGATTCATTGTGTTCAGTTTGATGCCCATCGGGCCAACCCATATGCCCAAATTGACATAGATGACATTTGGGAAACCTCAACCTCCTCACAGATGTCTCCCAAATAGGGAGAACATGCAAACTCCACACAGAAAGGCCGGGGCTCGAACCCAGCACCTTCTTGCTGTGAGGTGACAGTGCCAACTACTGCGTCCCCGTATATAAATCATTTCCATAATTTGCTCTAATTGTCTTTGATTTAAAAAGATACCATTTCAATCATGAAAGTTTGTATTTACATTCATACTGTTAAATAATACTAAGTATCAAGTGTTATTTGAAATGAGAGTAGCGTAACAGAATATCCAGCAGGTGGCTACGCACTGCAAAATAGGAATTAAGAAGCCTTAAATGCATGGTTTGGAGCTGAAGCCAGATACTGTGTATTAATACAAAGAACACAGGTATGTTACTAGGCATGTTTCTGGCATTAATTTAGAGTTGACTAACTCATACACAAGATAGTACCCAGGTTACATCCCAATTCCCTTATTTGATTCCTTCCCAAGCCTCGCTCGACCTGAAAGTCATTCCAGTCTGCCATTTTAAAGGCTGCCCCAATGCTCTTACTGTGTTTCTAATCTGACAAGCAAGGAGCCAGGAGGGATCTCTGAGGAACAAAGGATAAAACACAATTTTTAATTGTAAATCTGCTAGCAAATGTAGCTGATCAGACTGGTCTGAAAACCAAATGGTTCTTTATGGATATTTACTTCATATAGGTTCAGTGACTTTATGGAAACACACTACAAAGTTACAAAAACTATTTATTGCTTTCCAAAATTCAAAAAATGTATGCAGATCTGATGGTAACATGGAAACAGTCCAAAGAGACATCTGAATGATGATGTAACAACAACAACTGAGATTTTAAAAGCACTATTCACATTGATTGTGTCTTATTTATTGAAGTGCTCACTGAGGTTCTGACAGTCTTCTGTCTATGTGATGACTCTGAATAGCCTCCATCCAAACCTGAGTGAAGTGTCGGTATCTCCATCAGACTGTTGGTCCTGCTGTAAGCAGATGGCAGCACACTCCCCACAGGACAGAGACACTGCTTTGTGAATTTTCAGTTGTTCTGGGAGGCTTGCTGCATGATGACTGAACAGAGACTCAGCATCTGCAAGTACTCATCTGCCCCATCTGACAAGCACTTGCTCACAACCTGAACCAGAGGATACAAGCACAAATGGAGGATTTTAAAAGATAATGGAACATGTGAAGGTCATGAACTTCTATGTGATATATCACAGTGCATTACGGCCCTAATAATTCCTCACCTCGGAAAAAAAGCAAAGTACAAAACAACATCCTCATATCTATCCATGTATTTCACATCTATAATCTGACATAAGCTTGTTTTGATAGAACAGGTAAGTATAGCATGAACTGGAGCTACATCATATGCATTTTATTCCATCTGGCATCTGGGCTGCATTTGCTCCTGAATTCCAGTTTGTTCTCTGTAACCTGACTTGCTCAATGAACAGGGAAACCAACATACCAACATGTTTTCAGTTAACCAAGAACCTGAAAACTCTCCAACAGCTCACAGCATGCCAACATACAGTTGAAGTCAGACATTTACATACACCTTGGCCAAATACATTTAAACTTCCGACATTCATGCAGTCATAATTTTTCAACCACCATTGCAAATTAGGTGTACTGGCAAAATGTACAACCTTTAAGGTGTTTGCAATGTACAAATCAAACAAGAACAAGTGAAGTAGCTCAACACAGCTAATGTAACAAATTCAACACATAATTCAACTTTTAATGACTTCTGCAGTCTCAAACTTATTCATCCCCTTCATGACAAGCGTCTGTAGTACTTAGCATAGTATTTGGTAGCACTGCTTTTAAATTAACTCAGGTCAAACATTTCAGGATGCCTTCTACAAGCTTGTTCCAATAAGCTGCTGGAATTTGGAAATTGCTCCCAAGGATGAACCAGACTTGTGGAGGTCCACAGATTTCTTTTGATTTTCCCATGATGTCAAACAAAGAGGTTCTGAGTAGTGATGGCCATCTGACACCGAGGCCTCGATACATGATTCGAGCCGGGAGAGGGATCTCCCGCGAACCACTGCCTCGAGGCTTGTATTGTTGCCGAAAAGACACGTGACTGACACAGAAACGGCTGGCCCGAGTGAGTCCCGTGACCAGTTTAGACTGTCCATACGGTGTCACGACGTGAGATTTCGCTGCACGCGTCAGTAGGTGCGTACGCGTAGGGGTACTATAAAGCCACCCAAAGTGATGTGCAACATGTGGGTTTGTCGGCGTAGTAGGTGTGTGCATAGTTGCTGTCAGTATGATCATTGCTGCTGGGGCGTGATCACCATGGAGCCATTTAGGAATAAAAATGATTGATTCTCCATTCCTTGTATTTATTCACACCCTGTCCTAGTTACATACGCACATATTACATCCTAGCACATCCTGATTCCCCAAGCACGCCTTCTCCCACCTACTACACTACATACGTTCATAGACTCGACCGACTGACCAATAAATCTTTACAAATGTTTTCACATCATTCACACAAAGCCTAGTTACACCCATCACACAATTCAGACATTGTTCTGCTGCATACTATTTCGCCACCAGATGGCACTAAACCGAACCTTTGAATGAATGAACCAATACTCGATACAAATGATGAAGTGGTTCAATACAGGTGTCATGGTGTCAATTGGACATCACTAGTAGAGTTTGAAGGTAGGCCTTAAAATACATGCACAGGTGCACCTCCTATTGACTCAAAAGATGTCAATTAGCCTATCATAAGCCTCTAAAGCCATGACATAATTTTCTGGAATTTTCCAAGTTATTTAAAGGCCCAGTCAACTGACTGTATATAAACCTCTGACCCACTGGAATTGTGATATAGTGAATTACAAGTGAAATAATTTATCTGTAAACAAGTGTTGGAAATATGACTTGTGTCATGCATAAAGTACATGTCCTAACTGACTTGGCAAAATGAGAGTTTGTTGACTTGACATCTGTGGAGTGGTTAAAAATTAGTTTTAATGACTTCAGCCTAAGAGCATGTAAACCTCTGACTTCAACTCTAAGTCCAAGTTCTTCCACCAGTAAAATGTGTCTAGCTTGTGATTATAACAATCCATGCTTATCATCACTACAGTCAATGTAATTATTATATTGTTATAATTATTACAATATTATTGAAAAATTAAACTGCATCCAATCACTTACCGCCATCTTCTCTGTGATGGCTGACTTCTGCTTGTCGTTAAGGTCCCACTCTATGATAGACTCATGGAGCTGACTCAGGATCTGTGTGGCTGCGTAGCCCTCATCCACCATGTTCTGACAGTGGAGACATTGGTCACTTTAGAGAACGTGATGTACAGGGAGTCATCTGTATTGTTATTTAATATAAAAAATTCCAATACTTTGAAATATCTCATTTAAAACAACCTCTCCACGTCTGTCACTTTCCCTATAAACAGGAAGTGACCAAATGGATGTTGGCGTGTGAAAACACATGCTACAAATGTGTTACATAAGAAGAACAGCTACCCTGACTGCAACCTCCAGTTTCTCAAATGTTCCTCTGAAGCAGATCTGCAGCAAGCTGTCAATCATCTTGGGAGGGACAACCTATAGGACAGCACACAACATACAGTAATTAGAATATAATAAGGCAATGTTTTAAGTGCAAAGGTCTGTATCACACACAGAAGTATATCTCACCCCAGCTATTTCAATGACAGCACTCTCTGTGATTTCCTTGTCCACGTTAAGGCGTGCGGCGCTCTGGAGAAAGGTGATGGCTTTCCGCAGGTCTCCCTCAGACACCCTCACCAAAGCTGCTATACTCTAGTTGAACAGAAACAGTCATCATATGTCCTTTTAAGTCCACATTACAGCAACAGTATTCTTCCTCTCTTACCTCTTTGCTGTACTTGAGGTTCTCCTTGTCACAGATATCCAGCAGGCGCTCCTCTTGGATCTGATTGGCTAAAGGCTTGAAGCGAAACTTCGAACATCTGGATGTCAGAGGCTCAATAATCCTAGACAAACAGCAGGGTTAGGATCAGTCACACAGAGAGTGTGCCTGTGTACTCATGACTATGACCAGTCAGCTGACCTGCTGATGTAATTACAGATGAGGCAGAATCGGGTGGTGCGGGACTCCTTCTCCATGGTGCGTCTGAGTGCAGCCTGTGCTGGTGCTGTCATGGAGTCCGCCTCATCCAGGATGATGATCTTAAAAGGAGGACACGTCTTCCCACTACAAATACAGTGACTGAAGGTTTCAGCACTAGGCTACGTTCACATAACAGGCCTTGATGCTCAGTTTCAACTATGCTGTCAAATCCTTCCTGTGCTCAGACTCTCCAATCACCGTCATCGCTTTTTCTGCCCTCTTCCATGTTTATTTTTACCGGTCTGTGAGGGTACGACACTGACCGATGATGACAGGTACAAGTACAGAGGAGTGTGATGTAAAAAAAAAAATTAAAATAAAACAAACTCTGAATTCAGAACTGCCTGTTGTTACAGTACTTGCACAGTCAGAAATGAGATGTGAATTAGATCTAGGAACACATACGTATGCAAGTGGCCCAGACCTAATTTGAAAAATTAAACATGGATTCAGTTTAGAATTCACTGAGTGAGCAATAAACCTAAAACTATTCATCTCAGCACTAACGCAGCGTCTACACTGAAAGCATTTCAGCTGTGTTTTTGAGACATGCATATCACATAACTGAAATGTTCCTATTTTGATCAATCCAGTTGTTTACACTGCATGTATGTCAGCTTGCATCTTACTCATACTTTACAAGCATCAAGCCTATTGTATCAGGGAAATGATCCACACAAATCCACCAAAACAATGAAAGCTCACTAACTTCAACTTGAATCAAAATAAAGAAACACATCAAGCAAACAGTCACAAATTTCAACCAGAATTCTTTACAGATCATGGATGAACTACGGTCTGTTACACCATTAGAAAACATACTTGTTTTAGGGTTAGTTTTGTTTTGTTTTCTTGTGTTTCACCGTGAGCTTCATGATCCAGTTCTGTACAAGACATAAGGCATGTAAGTGTTGTGTTCAGTCATTTAAATTCTCCTCAGCCAATTCCTCTATGACACTTTCTGACTGGCTGTGGCTTTTTCTCTTTTCCCAAAATGTTCCTGTAACGTCAGCCTTGGCTCTTCTCCTACCCTGAAGACTGGCAGTTCTATTCCTGTCTTCTCCAGTTCACATGCTGAAGTTTCCTTGAGCAAGACACTGAACCTCCAGTTGCTCCTGGTGATATCACTGGTGTTTGAATGTGTGAATGCTTGGGAGTGCGAATGGGTGAATGGCCAAATAGTGTGAAAGCTTTGAGTGTGCTGCAATGTGGAGAAAAGTGCTTTACAAGTATGAGACCATTTACCATTTAGGGTCCTCTTTGTGCTCTTTGCAAACAAAGCACTTCCAATGCGTGAGTGAACATGCCTGGTGTAGAAATGAACAAGGTTCACCTGAGACACTACATGCTGCACATGCTATGCTTTCAAAAAAATGACCCTCGGCTGTTACAGAGAAACAATAAGGAAAACCTCCCTGAATTTGAGGATGCATGCACACCGCTGACTTACTCTGGGCGAGTCCCAGCCACGGTGAGCTGAGCAAAGTTCTTCACTTTCTCTCGGATAACCTGGATACCCCGTTCATCTGAGGCGTTGAGCTCCAGCACCCTCTGTCTGTAGAGCTCTGGCCTGGAGGAGACACAGTGGAGAAGGGCAAGATTCACACAAGAGAAAACAGGTGAATATTAAATAGGGATGGGAATCAAGAACTGGTACTAACAGGTAATTGGTACTAGCTCCTGATTGGTCAGTACTGAAATACAGTACCTATAAGCTCAAGGACAAACCGTGCTGCTCAGTAGCATGACATAACTGTAATGGGCCCCAGTGTGAATTGTTTTTTTTTTACATGCTCCACCCCAGCCCCAAATACCCAAGCATGCTCCTGCACACATGCATGCACGAATACACATGCACACACACAGCCACTACAGATAATTGCAGAGTAGACAACTGTATAGAGCAGCTTACCATGCAAGTCTCATCCTGCAAACCAGCCTCTGATCAGCACCACAGACAGCGACTAATCGAGGCTAATCAGCAGCCTCTCATGGACTCCAGTTATCAAACATCTGACACATTCAGCCAGTCTACACTAACAAATCAGCACAAAGGTAGCTTACACTATATGTTGATAAGCACAGAACAAATAGCCATCAACAAAAGAACAACAACTAATTATAGAGCTTTACAGTATGAGAATAGAATTCTGCATACATAATTTCACCAGTGGCCGTTATGTTATCACAGACACAGATTACAGCAGGTGCACATTTTCCAGCATACTGTAGATTTAAATCGGTCATCCCACTCCATAACAAAGAGACAGACTGTTCAATCTGGGTGTTTTTTAAATAAATAATGTGTTAATTTTTTTACCCATTATTTTTTTCTGTGATTAATGAATCTATATTAACATCTTATTTTGACAGTCCTAGATAAAATCATAATGATATCCGTCCAGAATGGTAAATGAAATTTGTGCAAATGCTAAAAACTGAAATCGCTATATCTTACTCAAAAGAACTGACAGTTCACTCACCCATACAGTTCTCTGGCAGCAGCTAGGATGGTGGAGGTCTTTCCTGTTCCAGGAGGGCCGTAGAAAAGCAAGTTCGGAAGCTGCAATTAAATTTAAAACACTCGTAAGTATATGCCTTGATTTAGCTGATGTTTGTCTTTGTTAGTGTACTCTTTTCATGAGCAGTGATTTCAATTCTTTTATTTACTAATAGCCATTACATTGTTACAATGCTTTATTGTGAAATGGTTAAGATTTTTAAGCTTGTTTTATTATTTTCCAAGCAAGTGTGGAAAGGAGGAAACTGAGGTAATATAAAAATCAAACACACACACATATGTGTGTCT